CTAACCCAACACAAAAATACTTTATTATGAGTAATATTGGTCGCTGAAGCCGACTACTCCGTGTTAAACTGACTAACCTGTTTGCTGATGCCAAGCGCGCCACCACCGCCTAACCCCTACACGAAATCCTTTTTCGCGATCAAAGTTCAAAGTTAATTTATTAGGTATAGCCCTGTGAGCCATTCGGCTCTTGAATCGGGTGCAACCGCAGCAAACAAACAAATCAGCCCCCAGGCAATTCAGCAGACACGCCAGCGACGTCCACTGCAACGGACGGTGTCACGTCGCCGTCGTACATATAACCGCACGCACTATATAAACTATAAGATAGCGGTTTCGCAAAGCACGTGCGTCTGTGCCAGCTCGAGGGGCGGGGCGGGGGGGCGAAGACGCGCATGGTACACGGGGCTCGAGAAGAAACGGGCCATTGTGCAGCAAAATCCCATTGGGCTTGGCGTTGCTGGCTGGCACCCAGTGATGCGAGTGTGCAGCCGGTGGCAGCTGTCCTCCGACGGCGACGGGAGGCAAAGAAGCGATGCTTTAGCCCGGCGGTTGTGGCAATTGCACGTTTTTTTAGCTTTCATTTATTAGGTATGGCCCTGTGAGCCATGAGGCTCTTGACTCGGGTGCAACCGCAACAAACAAAACATGAACAAAGACGGGCTTGCATGTAATCCAGCAATGTCCATGGAGGCAGTAGCGAGGGTTGGTGGACCACGCGAATGTTGTGAAACGCCCTTCCCGTGGGCGTAGAGGTGCCGAACACCCTGGCTTTCCGTAAGAAGGCGATTCAGAAAATGAATGGGATCGAGTGTTTCTCCGTCGCCCGCGTGGGTGTTCCCCGGGCGCTCCGCTTTCCTCCCACATGTAAAACCTCATTAATTTACTGAAACCATCTTGCATATATAGAGGACCGCAGAGCTTGGAAAATTGTTGTTGCCCGCTCACCGCCCGGCTGCTTTCCTGCATGCCGGTGGTTCCTCGAAACTCCAAGAGTGAGTAGACACTTATGCTGTATCATGCTCACAACAGCGAGCAGTGTCTCTGGTGGATAAATTACAATCGGGTATGAACAACACCGCTAGTCACCCAAATCTGTTGACCCATAAAACCTGGATCTGTCTTGTTGATCCTTGCTAATAATATCGCAACTCGAATTGCCTTCAAAATGCACCTAGCCTGGCACAAGCGGAATGGCAATGTCAGTGGTAGCTGGTGGCTCTCGCGTTTATGCGTCAACATCAATAATGGAAAGACAACGGTGTCTGGACTGACCGTGCATAGTGGTGACCCATTCACACCTCTGTATGTTTCACTGTCCACGAATATGACTTTCGTATGAAAATAGAGTGGCATCTTTAACACAGATGTGAATGTTCTTACGTACTGGTTAACGAAGTGCGGAAGGTTAAGAGACGAAAACACGTTTTTGTCGAGGTACAAAAACGGATCACCAACTCGCGCACTGGCCAAACGTGGTGAAGTATGGTCATTTTTACCGTCACGGCCCGCATGACCGTGGTTGGGGGAGCGAGGGGGGCGTCATCCAACAGTGGAGTGACTCGCGATCAATTCGACTCGGGGAGTATTTTTGCGAAACGACCGCCAGATGGCGAGCCACGTTCATTTTAAACAATGAGGATAATTACATACGAGGACATTTGCCAATGTTAGACTTCCCCTCCCCACTCCATAATCACAGATCGCCACTGCCCTCGATTACTATAATAATGTGCCTCTAACGCTGTGTCACGACGATTAGTAAAATCAGTGTTTTTGTTTGTTATTTGAGGTATTTACACCTTTTTTTGTAAAAAAAATTGTGTGTGAAATATACGGGGCGATCCGTTTATAGATACCTCACTAAAACAAAAAATGATACATTTTGGAGGAATCTATATTATATTTAAAACGCATCTTACACGACTCCCGCCACCAACTTCAATACAATATTACATGTTTCAGCTAATCCCACACACACACACGTCTAAAGACATATCGAGGATATCGGGGACTGGCTGCTGTCAACTCTCATGAGTTGGCCCAGGAAAGTTTTAATTTGACACATACTCTCTATAAGCCTCCGATTTTAACTCGAAATATAATTGTTGGCATTTGGGCGCTTAAACTTTACATCCGGGGAGGTTTATTTGTTTCCCTTGCTGTTCTAAGTCACGTGATAAACACACACACGAGACCCAACTCCTCGGTGAACCGAGTAATTTGCCTTCTGTGGAGCGCGTGTGGCTGCACCTAAGGCAGTAATTATAATAAATATGCTCAAAATGTCCCCCCCCCCCCCAATATATTGCTATAAAATAGAATTCTGTTTATATGATCGTGGTTATGGTTGTACTCTATTCATCTCTAATTTCTGCCATTACATACAATGAAAGAAGAAAAGGTAAAAAAGAAAGAAACAGAGCAATGTAATACAATACACTATTAGACATTATTGTAAAAAAAAATCCATCCTGTGTGTTTGTGATTTTTTTTTTATATTAGGCAGGAAATGGCAGGAAATTAGTTTTCTAATTTAGATTTTTTTTTTTTCTGGGGGGGGACGCCCAGACCCCCTGGAAGATTTGCCACCCCCCCTCCCCCCAATGTTGACTCCATGGCTACGGCCTTGGGCTGCACTCATTGCTGTTGGCAGCCCCAGAGCCAGTGGTGGGAATTCCACATTTCCATGATAGGCGCGCAGGATATTCATGGGTGGGGGGGGGGTCCTGCAAAGGTGGTGTTTATAGACCGAGAAGGGGATGACGGGCTGAGGATTTGAACTACACGGGAGGTCCTACAAACGGGCATTATTAATGTTCGTTCATGCCACGGAACATAAATTTGTGTACACAATACAACTTCAGTCACAGCACACACTCACTACGAAGTCCGAGCACAGTGCAGTACTCGTAGGCTCAGGTGTATGCTCAGCAGTTGGCAATAAGTAATAATGTTAGTGTGGAATGTTTAATGTCATTGAATTAGAATATTAGAACGGCATTTTAAAGCTTCAACATATAGTGTTTAGAAGTGTTTAACAATGAAATATGGAGATAGGTGGCGCTGCTACTTTAGTCCATCATCACGTTGTCGGAAGTCACAGTGGACTTATATAGAAACACTTGCCCTCGTCATGCGAATGGGGAATTTCCAACATTGGCTCTGCGCCACCAACCAATGAGATCGTCGATACTTGGCCCATCGGAGAAGAATTCTATTGTTGACTGGTCTCTGAACGGTAAAATAGATTAGGTCCGATCATAATGACAGCAAATCCATTGTTGTACCGTACTTCTATGCTCCCATGTATGTACTCCCCGCCTTTACACCTCTAGCGCTGACCAGCGTGGTGAAGTATGGTTTCAGGGGGTGGGGGGGGGGCTCATCCAGCAGTGGATTGACACAAGCTTCTGTATAGATGTACTTTGACGAGTAGCGTTTGCAGAATATAAACTGTGGTTGTAAAATGAAATCGCCTAGGCACGGCCATACGAATGTGGAATTGTCACCGTTGGCACAGGAGCCCACAGTCCATTGGGCTACAACAGAAATCGGTAACCACGTAAGGTCGCATAACTTTAATTTGCCCAATTTATGTATACGGCCAAATGAGGGTCGTGACTCAATTCACTGTTACTGGCCACGTCCAGAGATTATAATCACGAAAGTCACGTGGTACCTCAGGTGATACTGACAAAGTGAAATACGTATCCCGTTCATCTCGTCTGGACTCGTGGACTTATGTCACCTGCGATTATGAGCACAGCCAGACAGATGCTCGCGTGAACATTCAGCGATACTGCGATCAGATCTATTATAATACAGTAACATACGCTACAGTAACAATTAAGGCAATGGTAATGCATTTACATGCATAATACGTGCATTAAATGCTATTCTCAGCACATACTGTTATCACTGCCATTTAACCTTTGAAAGGCGTACAGTACTCATGGTTAATAAAAAAAACAAATTCAATTGCCTGATTGAATACAATAGCTGCGTATGCGTGAAAATTGTCAACGATTAATCAAGTAGACCGGATAAAGTCTCATGCTAACATTGTACAGTTATCCATTATTAGACTACATAAAATGCATATATCATAATGCTTCATTGGTATTCAACGTTGGACCACTGTATATCAACCACGCAAAGTCGCAAGTTGAATGTGCCGTTCACACTGGACGTAATGAATAGCACATACATTAATTATAGCAACCAGCGGAGGGAGCTTAAGCCGCATTCAATCGTATTCAGTGTCACACTCTTCCACGGGAGGCGAATTACTTGGTCCGCCGGTGAAGAAGATACATGTTTGTGTTTAGTGCAACACTTTAAGCCATCTGCAAGTTTGGGGCTAACCAAGCCCTTACGTGTGACAACGATCCAATGTAAGTTTCACGTTTTGTCTTACGGGGCGAGACATTGAGACACGACGTAGTGTCATCATCCATATCACAACCCACTGTTGACTTTCCACAAAGTGGTGCCGTATTAGTAGCGGGAGCGGTGGCGCAGTGGAAAGCGCGCTGCGCTACGAACCCGGAGATGCGAGTTCCGATTCCCGCTCAAGGCAAACACCAGCGATGATTATCTGAACCGGTCCTGGGCATCCCCTTGGTCGACTGCATCATATGAGTGCCTGGTGCGGTGTATAATCATCGCCACTCGGGAGACAAAGGCGGCCGGGCGTGGTGCTGACCAACCACCGTGCCGGTCTTCGTAGGTGCTCGCAAACAGCACTTGTTCATGCTACACTGGGGGGGGGTCTTTATATTCGCAGTGTCCATGAGCGGGCAGTGCGCACAGGAGAAGAGAGGCAGGCAGGGAGGAGGGAGGGAGGAGGAGAGCGATGGGGGAGGAGGAGGAGGTGCGTGTGGCGGGTGATGTGTGATGGAGGCAGCAGGCAGCAAGGAGGAGGAGGAGGGGGGTGGGTAGGTGGCTGGCTGGCTTGGGCTGCGTGGGGCGGGCGGGTTGAGTGGCCGTGCCACGGACGGCGAGGGATGAGAGATTGTGCTGCGCGTCTGTAGACGGGGTAAGACTAAATCGCCTCGTTCTCGTCTTTGTCCTGTGCGATGCTCGGCGGATTCTTCATTTACATAGAATAGGCTTGCGTCTGCCTGCCTGCCTGCCGTGCGCGCGTGTCTCTCCGTGTGAGTCTCCTTCCTGCGCGTGTGCGTTCTTTTTTTAAATCGTCATTGGGAGACCGCATCTATTACAGAGACACACACACACAGAGAGAGAGAAGAGACGGCACGCACACACGGAGAAGAGAGGCAGAGAGAGAGAGAGAGAGGAAACAGGAGAGAGAGAAATAGGGACACGAGTAGAGGCGGAGAAGCGGTTAAGGGTGGTGATGATGATGATGGGAGAGACGAGTGGATAGACGAGAGAGCGGCGACGTTGCAACACAGACGCATCGAGACCAGAGCGAGCGGCAGACGCGCACGTCCAGGCGAGAGACACAGACGCACATGCACACACACAGAGAGAGAGAAGACACGGACACACACAGACGGACAAGACAGAGAAGACAACACGGAGAGAGGAGCGAGAGACATCCTCGGGACGCAACAACGAGCGGAGAGACCAGCCGTCAATCCCCAGCCAGACACGCGGTCAGCGCAGCACCAACGCAGCATCGCTCATCAACCCCCTGGCGAGACATTCTCTATCCACTGCTGGAGCCCATCTGCAGTGGAGAGGAGGGGGGACGAGGAGGAAGAGACCAAGCACCGGGAGTCGGACCGAGAGGACGTGGGCCAGCGGACGCGAACGTCGCGGGAGACGATTTGAACGATGAGGTGCCATCCACGGCGCTTCTTCCCCCGTGAGTGAATTCAGCGCCCCACCGCTCTGTACATTTAGAGACCGAACATCAACGAGGGGGCCTCCGGCGGGCCATTCGAGACCCACCCCTCGTCTCGCCGAAGGCAGCTCTCGTCGGGTTCGCCCGTTAATTACAGAGAGCGCCGTGGTGATATTCATTCTCGCTTGTGCCGTCGTTCGCCGTCCCACACTGCTCATTTAAATCCCCCCACGGCGCCCGTAACCTCGACCCACCGCCTCTTCGTCGTGCCACCGGTCGCGTCTTCTCAACCTCGCTGACATCGCGACGCGGGCGCGAAGGAGGATGGCGGTGGAGAGGATTTGGCTGAACGTCATCCCGTTGACAGTCATCGAGGAGGGGATGCACCGTCGGCCCTGAGGTCCACATCAACGTTGCTGCGAGCGGGGGGGTGGGAGGTGAGGTCCAGGCGATCCGAGGGAGCAATTCGCTCCCGTCTCATCCACTCCAGTCTCAACGCGCGTCCTGTCGATCCGTCCCGTTCAGGATCAGAGGGCGGCTGCGTGCAATTTGTTGTTTTGTTTCAAGGCCGGCGGTGGTCGTGACGAACACCAATCCGCCGGTGGCGCACAGATTCGTTTGAGGTCGTGTCGATTGGTGGTGGTGGTGGGCGAGCCGGCGGGCGGGTGGCGTGAAGTTTGCCTTGGGGGATCGGTGGACAAAGTGGACACGATCTAGGGTGGCATCCATGGCTTTACGGCCGGTGGCGGTCTGAGGTCCCGGGGGGGTTGTGTGTGTGGGTGGGGGGGTTTGCGATGCAAGCACGTTCAGCACCATGTCCCGCCCTAACAGTGTGAGTCCTCCGAGCACCGCGCACGCTCCGCACGCAGCCACCTCCTCCTCCACCCCTCGGCCTCCTCCTCCCCAAGAGCAGAGCACCCGACGCGCCTGGCCCGAAGAGGAGAAGAACGGCATCGCCGTCATGGACACCAAGTACAACGGCATCGACCACGCCAGGCTGGAGCACAAGAAGAGCCGCTGGCGACGCGGTGGCGGCGGCGGCGGTGGTAGGTGGCACGTCCTCCCATCACCACCACCATCACCACCACAACCAGCAGCAGCAGCAGAGGTCCGTGCGCTCCAAGCCGGCGTGGCAGGACGAGCCGGGCCGCGGGAGGCACGGCGTGCGGCCAAAGTCCGTGGAGCTGGGCCTGGAGGAGCGAGGAGACGACGCTCGCGGCGGCGCCGTGCTGGGTGACATGGACGCTCTCGACGTGGCCTCGTTGGACAACGCGAGGCCCGGGGACGGCACCAGCTGCTGGGCGAGCGTCCTGCAGGTGTTCCGCTCCAAGAAGTTCCAGCCCGAGAAGCTGGAGCGCCTCTACCAAAGGTACTTCTTCCGGCTCAACCAGAGCAGCCTGACCATGCTGATGGGGCTGCTGGTCCTCGTGTGCAGCGTCATGCTCACCTTCCACTGCCTGGCGGGCCAGTACGACCTGGCCTACGTGCTGGTGCTCGCGATCTCAATCGGCGCCTTCCTGCTGCTCATGGTCCTCTGCAACCGGAACGGCTTCCACCAGGACCACATGTGGCTCGTGTGCTACACGGTGATCCTCGCCATCGGAGTCATCGAGGCCATGTCGGTGGTGAGCGTGAGCCCGCGCAGCGCGTCCGACGGCATCTGGTGGACCGTGTTCTTCGTGTACATGATCTACACGCTGCTGCCCGTGCGCATGAGGGCGGCCGTCATTAGCGGCATCGCGCTGTCCACGGCGCACATGGTCATCTCGTGGAAGAAGAACAGCCACGACGTGTACCTGTGGAAGCAGGTGGGTGGTCGGCGGTTGGCGGTCACTGATTCATTAAAAAAACTAAATATGTTTAAAATCATTAACCAGAAATGTGATTATGAAGGCTCCGTTTCAGAAAAGTGCTGCTTTGGAATACCGCACACAAATGATTTCTTGTTTGCGTCGAACAGGGTCCCCATATTCTATACAGAGCGCTCTTGCCAATAACCATCAAGGTAATCTCCCAGCATTTGATATCTGCAAATGCGGCCCAGAAGCTTGAAACCAGTCCAGAGTTTGCTTGCTGTATGCAAGTGCTGCTTGATATATTGGTCTGGAAAGCCAATAGGCTGATGGACTTAAACGGAATGCACTTTTGCTTATATCCACTTCGGAATGTTGGGCCAATTTTGAAAGGTTTTTCTTAAGCCAAACTTCCTCAGCAGGCAGGGCCCTCTTTAAAACAATTATGTGTGGGTCTTAGCAAAGCTTTCCCGCGTAATTGAAAGGTTTTTAATATATTTTTTGCTATTGCACGAATGTGTTTTGATGTGTGCATGTGTGCGTGTGGTTTTTTTTCCTCCCCCGACGTTTTAATTGCAAGTCTCAGACCGTTTAAAACGTTTTTGTGCCACTGCGTAGGGAATTGACATCTCACCAGACGCCGCTCGACACACACACACAACACACGCACACCGTCGTCGTCACGTTTGGCGCAATGGCTCGGTAGCGTCATACTACAGTGCAAGATCATCTCTGGATGCGGCTAAGGTCACGCTTTATTTAACAATGTGAACAGGAAAAAAAAAACGAAAAAAACTTGATACTAATGGATTCCCAGCATGGTTGGCTTGCAGCTGCCAGGCGAGGTGACATTGGCCAAAAAAAACGCACATCAATTCGCCGTCATTTATTTATGCAGGTGAGGGGGCGCTGATATTTGAGATTCTTTATCATATATGGGAAGGAGATCCGCTTCCACGAGCGATCGAGGCATTCTTCGCTGGGGGCTTGTTGTTTTGCATGACCCCACGTGCTCTTTATCATGCCGTCAGATTTTGTGTTCGCCGGTTTAATTTCAAAGCACATCACGGGTACAGTTGTGTCACTAATCGTCATCAGCCGTGGTCGATCCACTGCTGCATGAAGGCCTCCAAAAGCCACCGGCCACCTCTCTCAATCTTGCAACGAAACAATCCAACTAGCTCCAAACTTCGTCATTCCATCTCCTCAGTGAACGTCCTATCGGACGTGTATTGTTTACTATTTTGGTACTTGCAGTGTTATTTTGTGAACAAATGCATAAGAGTACGCCTCTATGAGCCAGAATGATCACAGCGCAATGTGCAGTGAGTTTTAATTTTGAAAACCCTGATTAGCGGAAGCGAATCTCAATTGGGAGGATGAGTTCAAGCCCCGTCGTAGGACGGGGATCAACTCGTCCGCTTGTCTGCCGAGGCCTGTGCATGCAACACCAGTGACGATTATCTGAACCCGGTCTTGGGCCTCCCCTAGGTCGACTCAGCCTCAAATGAGGACCTGATGCGATGTGTGAACATCGTGGTGTTGGCCACCCAACCACTCGTTGTGCAGTGCCGGCCTTCATAGGCGCTACAGCACTTGCCCCGACAATTAAGGCTATACGGGGGAATCTCTGTCTTTGTTTATTACAATGAAGTAACACTTTGTGTGACGCTAAAACTTGCTCTATGTGGTGGCTGGCCTATTCCATACGAATGTGGAACTTACACGAATGTTTTTGTACAAGATGAGCAAAGCACTCATGCTTATTTGAGTTGGAACACATTAAGATGTTTATTTTATTTTAATTTTGACGGTCCTACTTTGAAATAAGACGTATAGAATCTGAGTGCCTTGCACATCTCTCACCTGGATGTTAAAAATTAAATGCATTGAGGGTGTTTTTTTGTCTTTTAAGGCAAGGCATGCATCCATAATAGAGGTTTTTGGGTTAAATCCCGTAAATATAAATGTGTTGTTAAACCCGCCACCACCCGACACAGCCAATTAGTAAGGTTTGTCACGTAAACAACAAAACATGCCAGTTCGTTACTAGCACAGCACACCGGTGTGTTGGAGAGTAAACGCACAACATTTACAATTCGAGTACGACGTTTTGCCAGTAACTACAACTAGCATCATCAGGCGACATCCAGATTTGTGGAGAAATCCTCCTGTTTTGGTCTTAAATACAGGAATAAATGTGATGTCGTCACTTGTTTACGTGGCAAACCTTACCAATTGGCTGTGTCGGGCGTTGGCAGGTTCAACGACACATTTATATTTACGCGATCTAACCCAAAAACCTTTGATAGATAATATCGGGCGCGAAATCCCACCACGTGGTAAACAGAAGCATGCATTTTATCCGGAGAGCAGCAGATGCGATGCCAAATTCGAAGCAGCCTGCCACTTAAAACATCTCTCGGCTTTACACATTCGGCAGCTAAATTGCGCCGCCAGACATGGATAACCAGTGCTTGAACGGAGTCCACGCAGAACATGTTTGGACACTTTTAGCAGGTAGCAATAATATTTCATGCGTGCACCCACGCACGTGTGTGTGCAACAACAACAACAAATCCCGGTCCGATCGGAGGATGTTGTTGATGGCTGGTGCATCGCGTGGCCTGAATATGACAATCGCTTTATTTGTGGGTCCCCATTTTGTTTTCACAACAACGCCACAGCGTGTAACGCAGCTTGCTCGCTCGCTTGCTTCGTGTGTGTGCGTATTTGTACCTTTCTGGAATGCTAGATACATCCCACTGTCTAGCACAGGACCTAGGGCATATTTACACGCGCGCACGCACATGAGCTCTTTGCACTTGCATCGGAGCTCTTGAAGTTAGGTGGGACACTTGCATATAAACAGAGACAAAGATCCCCTTTACAGACTGTTGGGGCAAGTGCTGTTAGCGAGCACCTATGAAGGCTGGAACGGCGCAAGAGGGGGTGGGTGGCCAGGCACCCACGCCCGACCGCCTTTGTCTCCCCAGTGGCGATATTTTTACGCACCGCACCGGGTACTCATTTGACACTGAGTGGACCCTAGGGGAGGCGCAGAACCCCGGTTGAGATAATCGTCAACGGCGTTGGCCGTGAGCGGCAATCGAACTCGGGTCGCCGGGTTCGGTGCGCAGCTCCACCAGCGCTCCCGACTGACGCGTGCGGTTCGTGACCACGCGCGTGTCAACAATCACATTCAAATCGGTGCCCTCGAAGCCACGTCGGGCATTTGTTTGGCGACCATCGGGCACGTGTCGAGGTGCAACAGAATTGTTGTGCGCGTGCACGCAGATAGAGATCGGGGAAACAAGCACAGTTCAAAAGCGCACGCGGTTCGGAAACAAATCGGGACCCCGCATTTTCTGCACGTGAGTGTGCGCATAACGAAGGGACAGCGTTTGACCATTGAGTTACGTTGCAATATAATGAAAGGGTGCCGGCAATGGCAACTTTCACACACACACACAGATAAGGATCCCCCATATATTTTTTACAGACTTTCGGGGCAAATGCTATTAGCAAGCACATACACACACGCCCACATATTCACACACGCGCAGAATACAGAAGTCCCGGCTATGAATTAATGATTACGGTTTTTGCAAATTGGTTGTCCCCTGCAGTTATTTAGTCGCTTTCCGCCGTGTAAATAGCCCAGACTTTGGCCGTGTCAGATTTACCATTAACCGAGCACTGGCCAGTTGTGTTTGCAGTGTGTGTGAGTGTGTGTGTGCTCGTCTGTTTGTGGGGAGCGGTGGTCTAGCGGTTAGCGCACCGCGCTACGAACCTGGCGTCCCGGGTTCGATTCCCGCTCACGGCCATCACACAGTGAGGATTATCTGAACCGGTGCTGGGCCTCGTCTAGGTCGACTCAGCCTCAAATGAGTACCTGGTGCGGTGTGTAGTAAACATTGCCATTAGGGAGACATTAGGCGGCCGGGCGTGGAGTTGGCCACCGACCCCCTCGCGTGCCGTGCCGACCTTCGTAGGTGCTTGCTAACAGCACTTGTTCCAACAGCCTGTAAAGGCTATACGGGGGGTCTTTGTCTGTATGTGTGCTTGGGCTTTCCTCCCTCCCCAACTCAATTGCATTGGTGGCATAGTGGAGAGCACAGATGGTGCACCTGCCCATCACATCAGTTAACCCATAACGCCTGGGTCTGTCCTGTGACCTGCCGGTGAGTCTTGACACACTCGCCCTCGAAAGTTCATCCAGCGTGGCACAAGCGCTGTGGCTGTGATGACGTCTCCACAACTCAGTGGCAAATGGTGGCCGTTTGCCGTTGTTGGGGCGAGCGTAGACCCCGCGGGCCTCATGCGTCTCATGCGTCCCGTGGGGGCCTGCGTGGGGTCACGATTAGCGCACATGCACCGCGTCGAGCTCGCGGCCCACCGAGGTGAAGGAGGGCCGCTCACGTGGCCCACTGAATCGTCTGCGTTGCCCGTCGCTGCCCTACGAGGTCAAGCGGGAGATGCCCATCTTTTGCGCGCACGAATTTTGTGTGTGCGTGCGTCTGCGGTTGGGAGGTGGCTCTTAGGTCGTGATGTAACATCAGCAATGTCAAACGTGCGTCTTGACCTTGCCTGAGAGCCTCCCTTAGGTTGACTCTGCATAAAGTGTGTACAACGTGTGACTCTCCGTGCTCGCCGCGAGCGTGGTGCTGTGCCAGCCTTATTAATAGGTGTTCGTGAACACCGCCAGCTCCCATTCCGTCAGCTTATCCAGGTTAAACGGAGATCACCGAATGTGTTGTGTGTCGGGGAGTGGTGGCATCGTGGTTTGTACACTGCACTACAAACCCGGTGACACGACTTGGATTCACAGCCTCGGCTAACATCACTGGCCAAGTGGTTTCAAAACCTGCCCTACGTCAACTTAACCTTAAATGAGTATCTGTTGTGGTGTGGTACAATGTGAAAACAGAATGGAGAGACAAAGGCTGCTGGGCATGGCATGGGAAACATCACCGCATTGTGTGTTGTGCCAGTCTTAAAAGCTGCTCACTAAC